CTTCTCAATTATTTTAAGACCTTGAGTGTTGGTCCGGCCAGGGCTCGAACCCTCGACCTCCCGCACAACAGTCTAGCGCACTATTCATTGGGCTAACCGGGCGGCGGTCTAAATAAAGACTGATTGCTTATTTCAGAGGTACAAACACACTCCACGCGCTGACCTGGACCTCAATTAGTTCCTATTTTCAGCTTTATTCGGCGAACACGCGAAATAAAATCACTGTACAAACGCCAAGCTCTCTGACACACTGGGAGCTATCGAGAGGCATGTTTCTTCCTTCAAATCGCTCTGTTTTCTAATGGCTTGGAAGAAGAAGTTGTGCCTTTAAATAGCAAGTTTCTTCTGCAGGCCAAATCAAAAAAGGGTGTGAAAATCTCAATACCTCTTCAAACAGCTCAGGGGCTGCATGAGTACTAAGAGGATTAGACAATATTCAAGCTTTTAATCCAAAAGTATTATGCCAACAGAGGTTTTCTGCACGGAAAACGTGACATATCAAGCTCATGGTAAAAGTGCAAAACGCAAAAAGCATTCGTGATAATCAGCGTAAAAATTCCGGGTAGAGGGGTGTTTTAGTCATTTGACACAGAACTGAGGACTCTGTTCGTTACCCGCGGTTAGACTTTTATAAATTGGCTCATAGGGAACCAACGCGTCTAAACATCAGCCACTCTCGACATTCAGTGCAAGTTACTTGACTTGTTGAACAATAAACGTTGAACACTATTTCTTCTAAACTGACACTACTTGGGTTCAAAAGAATCTCTCGTAAAATGGTGGAAATAAGCTATTTAAGACTGACGACATTTGTCATTGTTGACGCGTTGGTTGTGGAATTGAGCCTGCAACCCGCACGCACATTTTTTAAAAAAGATTTATAAAATAAATCTTTTCATAATAAATCTTTTCATAAAAGATTTATCATAATAAATCTATTCATAAAAGATTTATCCCCGCTTACACATTTTTTAAAAAAGCGCCAAAGGTTAGATGCATGATGCCGCGGTGTTTTAGAGAGTTCAGTACGTAGTAGTTTTCTTACCAAGGCTATTGATGGGTCTAAATCTGAGATGTTCATCCTACTTGGGTATACACAGTGATAACTCTGTAAGCACAACAAACACAGCCAGTTTGAGTCTACATCACCATCACACAATGACATGTAGAGTCTTACTCAAATGAAAACCATGATGCTGCTGTTTTTCTGGAAGGTTAAAACAAAAACTAAAGCGCAACAGGCGAGAGTTCCGTCTGAGGAAAGTTAACGCGACTCTCCCACATTGCATATAATCCCTCTAGATCCCATATTAAGTTTAGAGGGGAGCTCTCCTATCAAACGGAAGGGGAAGCTTGTTAAATGACAGTTGATAGGACTCAGTAGAAATACCTTCTCTTTCAAAAACTAAGACCACCATGATAGTACGACGGCGTTTTTTATTCCTTTTCGTGCAAATCAAAGGATACATTAACGGTAATAAATACAAGCGTTTCGTGCTGAACACCAACATTCTTACCTCATCGGGGATTTGGCTCAATTTACCCGGGTTCACAGCCTGTTGAGTCGTGTGGGGGTCGAGATACAACAAAGTGTTTCCTTTAGTAAGAAAAAAATATGTGAAAGTGAGTTACATTCAAAGAAGCGTAGTTTGCAAATGTAATCAACCTTACAAGGAAGTGAAAAAATAGTGAATGCAATTAGGAACTTTAAGTAACTTTTATCCTCCGATGAAGGATAAAATAATGTGTCAAGAATCCTATGTTATGAATGTGCAAAGTTATGATAAAATAAGACAACAACTCCCCTGCAGATCTATGGACTGCCCTTGAGCACTTGCTAAAAAAGAAGTGTTTGTAGTAACAGAGGATTTAAAAAAAGTTACCATAATATCCTATAAAGTAGTATGCATGGTTGGGTTTTCCTCCTATAACACCCACAGATTGCCTAAATGTGAAACACGCCTGAAATGGAGCAAAAGTCATCAAGTTAGGATTTCAATAAGTACTTTGTTCTAAGTTTTCTAGTGTGGGAGTAACAAGAATTTGCATCAATTTGATACCTCACAAAAATCAACTGGGAGTAGGTGGGTGAAAAAGAGCGCCTACTCCCTGCCATATCCTGAATGGATCTGAATTCCATTTTAAAAACTATCAAATGATGTTTTGTCAATAGACAATGCCAGAAAAAAGGATTGCTAATCATGACTTAAATCATTTTGTAATGCAGCATACAGGACACACATAATGACCCACAACTGCTGGAGCATATGCCAATCTTTGGATCATCAAGTGACTTTTATGGTTAGTACTGCTACTTCGCATCCTGACTGGAGCTGCTCCATCACAGAACACCCACACTTATCACAAGATACCCAAGGTCAGTGCGGTCATTGACAAGGAGGCAGAGAGGCACTGCAGGTCACCTCATAAACAAATAAAATCCATTTAACCCTCTTTGAGTCCTCTGTGATATTCATCCCAATTTCCTTCAGAATTTTTTGATTATATTGACAACCAGCCCTCCATCTTGTCATCTGCCATACTGCCAAGAACATTTTACTGTCATTACTGCCTTTGATTTAACCATTAATCAAGATAAACAGTGGGTGAAAAATTACTGTACCCACCTTGAATGGCTCATCGTAAACAGAATTCATCTCTGAAAGCCCTAATCTAAGTGGTATGAACAACAACAGAGGTCTCCAGCCCTGTGGTCTGTGTTTTGCACTCTCTGTTGTGTCTGACCCGCCTACTGCTCCTCTTTGCCTTCCAACCCCAGCTGATGTATGACTGTAGCTTGTTGCTTCTCCATGACTCTTTGTTGATGAATCTCTTTTGCAAAGAAACTCTAAAAGCAAAAAAATTCTTTTCACTGCAGGATTAGTATAGAACTGAATGATGTTTGAAGGAAATCTCTGCTTGTGTGAACAGTTTTTGAGATCCTTTGGATGTCATAACTCGGAAGGTTAAATAACTTGTTTTTTAAATTAGTTTCTTTTCCTCACACACAAAATCATGAGATAATTTAGAATAACACTAGAAATAGTAATTGTGTGATTCTAGAAAATCTTTATACCCACCTTAAAGAAAGTTGCACAAAAGGATGACAAAAGAATCAGACAAGGATATTCAAATTAAATTACTTGTTTATCATTATAAATAACAATTATTGTGAAAACTCACTGATATCATTTATTATAACAGTGTTGTCCATGGCAATGTGAATACACAGCGAACTCCAGTCATCAAAGCACATTAGTTTTCTACAGATGAAGAAGAACCATAATTTAAGCAAGTAATGGCAATCAGTCATGCAACAGTTAGTGTAAAGCACAACAAATTTGAAAACTAAAAACATTCTAAGATGATGGCATAAAATGTCCAAATAAGACAACAGTTACAGATCTAAAAAACAGCACTGTATGATCTGAACTGAGAGAACAGTGTAACCTTACTTGAGTACTTGTGCAACAGTGTTTGGTCCAAACCAACTCCCCACAGATTTGCCTTCAGATACACCCATTTGAGCTGACATCAGAATAAGAGATATTATTAAAAACTAGATCATTGGATAATGCAATTCAAGACTTTTTATTGGCTTAGCCATTATGGTATATGAGCCAATATACCATAATCTACAAACATGGTAAGCGTACGAGTCAGCTTAAAATTAAAAGAGAGCTAAAAATTTAATAAAATTTAATAATTTAATGCAGCGTTTTTAATAAAACAATTATTCCACTCGCGTTTGTTGGATATGAGATGATTATAGCCAACTCGGCGCTACGCCCTCGTTGGCTATCTATCATCTCATATCCAACGCGCACTTGTGGAATAATTGTTAATTATATTATAGAGATAAGTTCTATGTTGCAAAATGTTTGAAATAACATGTATGCCAAAAATTGGCTAGATTCTCAAAAAGAATATCAGTTAGTGTCAAAAATTAATCATTCCATTTTGTACTTAAAGGAGATGTAATTTGTCATATTGTTTTTCACCCACCTATTTGATGGATAGAATATAAACTATCTTTCTTGTCCAGAAAATTCTGTAAAATCTAATAATCATATGTAACAAATTTAATTACTGTCATCTATCACATGTCCATGTTTCTAATAAAAATCCATAATTATCCTATTTTAACTTCCTATATTGATAAACAGAAATTCTCCTTTAACCCTTAAACTCCCAGCTGACTGAGAAGTACTTTTAATTAATTCCTATCAATATAATTTCAAGGAGAAAGATGCTGAGAAATAAAGGAAAAATTTCAATTCAACAATTCTCTGAACTGACATTATATGAAATGCATGGAAGACAGCAAGGAGTGTTGGGAGTGAAAGAATAAATATACCTGCATATAAACAGCATTACTGACATCAGGCTCCCACTGCCAGTCTATACAGAATAGAGAAAACTATTTCATAATAGGTTCTATTAATATTTTTCCTATGTGGGAAGAGGAAAATCTATAAACTCTGCCTAGTCAACATTCAACAAAATATCAAATGAACATAATTGATGTTGAGTGATGCCAGTTAATAAACTGATAGTTAAAATTCACAAGTGATTAACAACAGAGTTTTGCAGTTTTAAACAACAATTTCCTTTTGCTAAAATTATTGTTATCAATTACATTATAAGCTATCCTAGGTGGTCACCAAATGGATGAGAAAAGATGTCCGTTTTTAGATGACTTGTTGTGGCGCTAAGAGTTAGGGCTACTAGAACTTTTATTGTATTATAAACTTATGGTTTCAATAAAATTCAAGGAGGTCTGACCTCTTCCAAGATGTCTGCAAAGCAAAGCTTGTGCAAGAATCATCTGCCCACATCGCAGCATACATCCCCAGCCACTGTCAGCAGTTGGTCCTGTACCTCCTGTGGACAGGCAAAAAGAATTATAAACAGTCAAAAAAGCAAAAAAATGTGACACTTAGTCTTGCACACCAGTCAACACTTTTGTCAACTGTTGACCTAGTCTCTTTGGGGTTAAGCATTTAATATGGTAGACATTGGGATAACTGTCTCTCAAGCTACTAGAAAGATTTTGTCAACTTTTCTTGAATTTTCTGAGACTCAGTTATACTATCGGGTGAAATTAAAAATAGGCCTGGACTTCTTAAACCAGAGTTCAAGAGACTCGTAATAAGGTTAACAACTCACTCCCTTACAAAAAGATGAAAATAAAATTATTGTACCCACCAATTGCTGGGAAATTCTTCCTATATGTACACCAAATTCTAGACCTTATGTCCCTAAGAATGTGGAATGAATCTTCTCCTGAAATAAAACACAGTTAAAGCCAAGGTAAATCAAGTGCTCCTACTTGTAAAATGATGTTAAAATATTATTTTAAAATGTTCTTTTCGCTGACATAATTAGATTCCTGACCCAAGGCAAAAGTAACAAGTCAGGCATAAGCTGCAATCAAGTCACCACAAACACTGCATACTATAAACAAAACAGAAATATCTACTTTCGCTTCACAGCCGGAATGAAAACTATTCATCTCTGTACAAAACTGAAAACGTCTCCATTGCCATGCCGCAAAAAGCTTTCAATTAAGAAATTAAACACATCAATCGCACAAATTACATCAGTTACCGTAGATCAGCGAATTGATGCTTTTACAAGATAACACAAGAGATAATGCAGATGCTCAAACAATAACAAAGCAAATGAAAATTTTTACAGCAGAGTTGCGATGTGGCAAATAGCAAATATGAGTTTTCGCGAGATCAAGGTGGAAAGTGAAGTTGTTTCTACCTTTGTTGGTAAAGTACTCCTTTCCAAGGACCCATATCGGCTCTTTAGTTCTTGGGAATGTATCTTGTTCGAAAGCAACCCCTTCATATGTAATACAAGCAGTGTCCATAACTGGACCCGCCATGTTTTTTTTCTACAGTTTACAAAACATCGTCATTGTCGATTCCAGTACCTTGACCGTAATAGGCTTACCCCACGCGCGGGACGCGTGGACGTCACGCGATGCGTAACTTGCGTTATATCAAAATTCTTACTCTCAGCGAGTTCGAGAGGACATAATCATAGGAAAATGAACAAGCATGTTTATTCTTTACCTGTTGTCGTGTCCAACCCTTATAAACTAGTCTCCTTTGCAACCGTTGTTCGGGCATGACACACAAAAGTAAGGGGAAAAAGGGGTATTGATTGACAACGGTTGCAGGTTGCAACACTCAAATCAGCAAAGATGGAATCGAAGTCGAAGAATTCTAATTGCTCTAGTAAAAATTTTACTAAATATTCAAGACCTCATAATAAAAGAGGCTCGAGTTTTTATTCGATTGTGTTTATAACTGCATACTGTTAGGTGACTCAGCACTCTATCACGGAATCCCTATCCATAGATTTGCGTAGCCAATCAGTTTACAGCGTTTGTGATAGAACGCTGGTGGGCATACAGACCAATGAACCACAATGAATGGTTCAAAACTGTAGGAAAACTCAAATAAGAAAAAAATACAACAACAGCAACGACAAAATGTACCAATGACCAACTGCAATACTTTTGTTTATGACTTGGTCTGAACTTTCCTCACACAGGCACCTGAATGAACTGAATGAATGTTCTGCAGGCTTGGTGAGACAAAAAGCTGGTCTGACTGGCGCGCATCCTTTACGACTTATAACAGAGTTTTCTACAGATTTCAGGGGCTTACTTTGTTATAGCCTGAGAAACAGACATGCAAAAACGATGGAGCCAGACATAAAGATTCCACCTTCATTCCGCATAGGGAGGGCCAAATCAAGTCATGTCTCAGCACGTTTATCAAAACACTCACAAACAATTACAAAAGTAAAAGGTGAATTATTGCTTTTTATTTCACTGTCTTACAAAGGAAAATTCCTAAGTTAGAGGCAACATAATTTCAATAAAGCCCTTAGAACTTGGTTCAAGATTTGTGTCATTTGACTGGAGAAGCACAGGCCAGCATGCCAGCCCCTTTGAAGTATGTCTTCAGTAGAGGAGAAAATATTTTCTTTCGTGGTGTTTAGGGAGAGAAAATTGAAATGAATCAGAGCGTTTCCTTTTAAAGTATTCTAAGTTTATTATTTATACGTCAAATCGAAATATTTTTCAACTGTAACGACTAAACGACTTAACCATAGTTAGTAGAGGGCTATCACTTAACCAAACCAAACATTTGCAAAGTTGCGATATGCTCTCCGAGAGTACGAGTGTCTACCTAAGCGTCATTTTAACGAAACCATCCAATAATATTTGTAGTCTGTTTTTCTGCTCTAAGTTTTCAGATGTTCTTTAATAAATATGTCTTTCAAACACACCAGCCTTTTTGCATGAGAAACAAATCGAACTGCAACATTATATATCAACAATAAATAATACTCAAATTTAATATAGAATCGATGTATTTTACCATGCACTTAATACTTATTTGTATTGTCAAACAAAAGTCATCTTTAACTGTCTTTGAATGGGAAATTGATTTGTCCTAATATTATTTTCCGAGCTTCAATTGGCAGCCTGGTACGAGAGCCTCTAAATTTACTTGGATGCTTGCTGCTGCATCACCATAGGAACTGTGGACGAAAAGGACAAGAAATTTTTACAAAGGGCTAAAAGACAAAAAAGTGCACTCGAAAACTGAATCAAAGTAATAACAAGATCGCTTGGCCAGGACGCAGCTTCCGCCAAATCAGACTTTTCTGATTGTTGACACATAGTCGACCAACACTTTTAATATGTCTTCAAGAGCCATACACAATCACGTGTTTTTACCACCCTTTCTCCCTACAAGCAACCAGAATAGATTCCTAGTAAATGAATCATGAGACTTTCTCTTTAGCTGATACACTTGTCTTTTTTGGTTAACTGTTTGATGAAGAATGATATCAAAAGGAAAGTTCAGCAAGGAGTTAGAGATTGAGTCTGACAGCCATTGACCCATTCTGCTCTCGGCTCTATTACAATACTTAACCCTTAACCCCACAAATCTGATTGTTAATTCCCCCCCCTGGCTGTTACAAATTTTCTTGGAAATTAGTTCGCAGAATTTGGTGTTAGACCAAGATATCATCTTCCTGAGATTTTTGAAAATTCTGAATACCTGTCTGCCGAATAATGTATAGATGCTCTCAGGAGAAGTTACATGTTAATTACTTCTAGAAGTGAAAAGGTTAGCACAATCCTACACTCACTTGTAACAGGTCTTCTCAGCATCTTCGTTTTACCGCCAAAGCCAGCAGAAGCGCCATCTTCCTTTCCATAATCACGCTTCACAAACGTGGGAGCGCTAACGCCCGTTCCTTTCTGCTCTAACGTAAACTGGTTTCTGGTTTCATCATCACCTTGTACCTGAGATGGCCCAGTTAGCTCTGAAGTAGAAGTAGTTTTGCAGCCATTCTGACACACTGAGTATGGTGCTCCTAAAGTCACACCTGTGCTGATGTTGACAAAGGATAGAGGGTTGATTAATGGAAACGGGACATGAAATGGCTTTAGTGGCGTTGAGATTGCAGACTGAGGGTTACTAAGAACCCCCGGTTGGGAGTTCTGCGATGAGTTTGGAACTGGGACACTCCCCCTCTCTACAGCTATACCTGATAGGACATTCTGCGTTGGATGAAACTGGCCTAACGGTGACAACCCAGCACCGAGACCAGCCTTTAAGTTAGCTTGTAGCGTTGTTTGGTTCGTGGTGAAAGCTCCTTCGTATTGACTCTGCACACTGTTAGATGCTTCGGATGTTATTGGAAGGGATACTTCACCCGTCGAACCCACAATCCGGCTTGCAGAAGCAGCAACATTTGCTGGATTGATACCTGGGTAAACACTTGGAAATGAAAGAAACGGAAAACCGGGAAACACCGGTAAACTACTGGTAGACGTGGTTTGTGGAGAAAGACTAGGAGCCACAGTGCTTAGCTGCTGAATGGCTTCTGGGGTTTGCCGACTAGGACTAGAACATGGACTTGAATAAATTTCAGACGACACAGACACGGTTTGAGCTAAAGAAACGGTGGGACCAGGACCCGGAGAGATTCCTTTCAGACTCTGTGGCATTACTTTAGCTGGTGTGGCTGCTGAAATATGTCCATCCCAATTATTTACCAAACTCCAAGACTGGTGAAATGCTCCTGGTGGAATCTGTGTTTTTTGTTTGCTTGAAAGATTGGCAATAGATGGTAACCCCAAAGCTGATTGGTGGAAAACTGTATTAGCAGGTGCTCCAAAAGGAAACTGAGAATCTGCAACAACGTACACAGTTGGAGCTGTAACAGTACTCGCTGCACTTGATGTTGTTTCTGGCGAGGAGGTTTTAGACAAAGTGGTTGCACCATGTTTGGCACCTTTCCCTAGATTCCCAGTCGGTGAGTGCCTCTTATTCAAGAAATCTGCTTGATCAGTATTACTTTTGCTTTCAGTTGTCCCCACGCATAAAGAAAACCTGTCGTTCAGTAATGTCTTCGACTCACTGACTGGAATGTCGCATTTTGAATACTGGTCTATATCCTTAGATTCACCAGTACCTTGGTCGCACTGATTATATTCCTCTCTCGACGCGGTGTTAAGATTCTCCGTTTCTCCCACAAATAGAGATTTCTGCGTCGAACAAAGGCCATCAGTTTCTGCGGAGACATAATCTGATAGTCCATTGTTCTTCGCACCAAAGCATGGTTCAGATACTCCACGGACATCTTCACAAAACGCAAAAGATTGGATCTGTTTTTCCTCTGGCATTTCATCCCTGTTGACATCCTTAACGTCGCACTGATCTTGTGTACCCCAGTTAATTATACCTGATTTTGGTCTTTTCTGGATGTCAGTCAATGACGGATGTGCGTACTTGCAGCGCTTCCCCAAACAACAATTTTTCCCGTATGGACAAGAATCGATCTCAGAATCTTGTCTTCGACAGTAGTGTGGCGGTTGCACATGTGACTCGTTTAAAAACACTGTCCTATTATTTCCTTCACTCGCCTCGACGCTTCTTTTTCTTAAATACTCCACCTTGGATTCAGGTGTAGACTTGTCACGCTGTTCCAAAATATCAATACTACTATAATCGTCACCATCACCGTTCTTATGAGAAATTTCTCCTGAGTCTGTTTTGCCTCGCTCGTTTTCCTTGCACCCATTCTCATCAACCGAAGGTAGCACCCACTCATCACCAAAACCAACATGTGTGCTTGGCTTGTACTCAGGGGAGTCCACCAGGAGTGTAACCATGACAGTGGCTTGATTGACGGGAGTCTCCTCCTCGCTGGATTGACGCTTTAGTTGTTGCTCTAACCGAAGCGTTTCTTCCATCTGTTTCTCCAGCACGGTGATCTCTCTGTGAATGACAGTGAGAATTAATCAGTATAGGTCAAACTCCAGATTTCTTCAGCCCCAACTTCCACAAAATCTTTCTGTCATTAAGTAATCCTCTCACTCAAATGGGGTTCGATTGAGGAAAAAGCCGTTTGGTTTTTACCTTTGCTGCGCGTCAATCTCTGCTTGTTTCTTGCTCAGTTCCAAAGCCATTTGTAGCTGTAATTCTTCATCATTTTGATCAGAAGGCTGTAGCTCCTCCAGTAGCTTCTGTTTCTCTTGTCTCTTTTGCCAGACGTTCGCAACATAGCTTGGTCTGGATGGAGCGCGGCTGGTTTTTGGATATTCACACCACACTCCGCCAGTTTGCTACACAAAAGGAAAAGAATAACAGGTTGAAAGTTCAGTAGTTAAAATACCCTGATTAATTTCTTGTAATCGTCTGGTCCTTCCCTGTTTTGATCAGAAAGTTGGAATTCAAGAGAAACATAGATAATGTTGCGGTTTGACCACATAATTGAAGAAATGTTACTTTTCCTTATTTTGTATTTTTTGACTAACTGGCTGATTAAAGGAGATATCTGCGGTGCTGCTGGGGGTATAACCAGATAATTAACAATTATTCCACGAGCGCGCGTTGGATATGAGATGATAGATAGCCAACGAGGCGCGTAGCGCCGAGTTGGCTATAATCATCTCATATCCAACAAGCGCTCGTGGAATAATTGTTTTATTAAAAACGTTAGCTTAAATTATTAAATTTGATTAAATTTAGCTCCCTTTTAATTTTAAGCTGATACGTACGCTTACCATATTTGTAGATTATGGTATATTGGCTGATATACCATAATGGCTAAGCCAATAAAAAGTCTTGAATTGCATTATCCAATGATCTAGCTTTTAATAATTTGGTTTTATCAACTGAGTTGATAGTGTATATTGGTCACAATAAAATAAAGACTTTCTAAAGCTAACGTTTCGAGCGTTTCGAGCTGGCTGATTGTTAACAAAATGACAAGGAGACCAGTCATCTAGATATAATGCTTTATGTACTCAGTATATACTCCACTGCGCCTTGTCTGAAACACTTGCCTGGCTTGTGTAATGCGGTAACCTCTCTGTCAGTTCATCTTGTCTCCGTGTTGTTTCTGGTTTGACTGTGACATTTCTAAAAAAGTCTGGAACAAATTTCTTCTCAGCAACAGTTGTTGTGGATTCGGAGCTTGTTACTGTGTCATTTTGCTGTCTTGATTTCTGAAAAGTTCAAAATACCGTTGTGCATTAGCTTAAAACAACTGCATTACAGAGGAGTCATCTTGTGATCTATTCTTTGAAAACCAAGTGGCATTCTCAATTTTCCTTGAGGACATTTTCTGATATTATGATATTCTTTATTTTAGCATAGCTTTTCATAACAATATAGCGCAGTGGTACCGGGGAGCTTATTCAGGGGGGGGGGGAGGGTAGCTTATTGGAGGGTGGGCTTATTAATTTAGCCTGACGCCCACTACCAGGATACAATAGGATATGTTGTACCGTATTTATTCAAAAATTGTTCTCATTTTAATTTTTTTCATTTGCCAAATTGTAATTCCATATACTGTACTCTATTGATGCCAACATGATAACATCAATCAATCACAATAATCAATTTTACATGACAAACTGAAATTACAGTGCTAGAATAACTTTATTTCACTTACTGACATGGAGTGTTATTTTGAATTTTTGTTTTTTCGAGGGGGAGGGGGGGGGCTTAATAAATTTCTTCCACTAAAGAGGGGGGCTTATTAGAGGGGGGGTGGCCTATTAGAGGATTTACCGCATATATTAAATTAACATAGCAACGAACATAGCAATATAACTTTAAGAAGTCATAAATAAGTGGGGAGATAGAAGTCAACATAACTGTACATTATTTGAGTTGGCAGCTGCAACTTGGTCAAGAAATGATAAGTAGAGCTATGATATGTTTAGGTGACAGACATTTTTGACAGTGGTGAAGAGGAACAGCCATGAGATTCTTGGGAGCTTGAAAATAGGCCAAAGAACCAGACATCGTGCACTTTTTAAAAACACCTCAGTCTACATTTCATCACCCCTCCGGCCTAAAATAAAAAACCTTCGTTGTGACTCTCATTAGAACATAACACCTACCATCCTATTCTTCTTCTTTCTCGCATTCCTCTTGTTACAAGCACGGTCATCACTTTGTTCTTTAAGATTCTTTTCTTGACCAAAATATACATTGCCAAGATGATCAAAACTACAAAGCACATAAAACTAACATTGTCATCACATAACTTGATCATCTATAGGCTATTTGATTTCTTAATCATGTGATCTGTGTACCTTCTATGTTGCTTAGGTGCCTTTGTTTTAACATCTTTAGAAAAAGCCTGTCATAGGGACAGAAGAAGGAAAAAAATACAAAACACTTATTAGTAATCAAATGGTAACAACAGAGCAAGGCCTGGGCAAGTATCTGTGGGTGGAACCAAATTTGAATTTGTTTCCTGAAATATTGCCTCCAATATTTGTTGCAACATTGTGTTTTCACATGAAGGATTGAAAGCCAAGATTCAGAAATTAAGTTTTTAGTAGTTTTCATGGACAGAGGTGCATTTTAAACCTTGGAGTAAGTGGTAAAGTTGGAAAGGACACTTTGAACAAACAATCAGTTAAGATGAGTTTATGTGATAAGAAGTGACCTCTCCTTACAGCAATGCTTTGGCTTGTGTGAACAGTGACCAAAAACACTAGGGGGGAGGGACTAAGGTGCAGAGTTGTTTTTACATGTCACTGTAAATTCTTACCTTATTATTTTGCTGTAGAGTTTGATTTGGATCTTTAATTTGGGCTGCATTTTCAGATATTTCCTGTAAGGATTAAACAAATGGTGCACATGTAAATTATTGTATGTACAATGAAACCAAGAGTACCACTGGTCCAATATTTCTTTCACAGCTCAATCACCCACTTCCCTTTTAATCATTTTCTTCAATTAACTCCAGTAACCTGTGGAGAGGTTCTCATTTAAGCACTAATAAACAAGTGAGGTACAATAGGACTAGAGGTTTGTGTAGGTCTTACGCCTGACCGTAACAAACCTCTTACACACTTGCTTCACTCAGAGCTGTACCAAGGTAGCCACCTATTTCAAATCTAATTGAAAGCACTGCCTCCTGCAGTGTGAATGCTAAGACCCTGCATCAAGGCTACAGCTCTAGATAGGCATTAGCTAACAGTTTATTATAAGCAGCAAACCTAAATGACTTATAAACACCTTTTCTCGTCTCCACTGTTCCACTTTAAGTTGTTTGTTATTCTTTAACTTTGACTGAAGGGAATCAGAAAAAAAATTATAAACTTCAGAGGACTCCATCAATCCCTGAATAAGTGCAAACACTGTTGGACAATTCTGAAAGTTATAACCAACCGTGTAACCACGTAACCATGGCCATCAAAAGCTTAAACCCAACAAAATAAATTTAAGGTTAGTATTTACATGAATTAAAGATGACATAAATATAGACTTGATATTTTCTTGCCTGATTTCCTTGGTTTCCTTTTTGTTTTGGTTTTCCATTCGACAGGTTTCTCTGCTTTCAAAATCAAATAAAAGCAGCCAAAACAATATAAAAATAAATGTACCAGTATATATTTAACAATTATTTGCTGAAGGCGAGGTGAATATTGTTGAATAATCCCCGAGACGAAGTCGAGGGGATTATTTGACAATATTCACCGAACCTGAGGTGAATAATTGTTTTAATTTCAGAGCTGAACAACAGAGAAATTTCTAAAATCATAACATTTTAGTAACATTTATCAACATTTTATTTTAACATTTTATATAAACCGCATGGAGCAGTTTATATGGCATCATATAAGGAACTGCTCGACCAGTCAGACTGCTGGAAATTCTTAGCTCAGCTCTGAAATTATACTACATACCAATATATATCAAGTGCAATTGAGTGATTTGCAATTATCATTGACCTGATGCTTACATCACAGAACTTCTTTTTGTTGGCATCTCTCTGTTCCTTGAGGTTTGCAAAGCTTGTGAACTGAGCCATCTATTAAATAACATGAGTAACAACAAAGGATCAGAAACTTTAAGCTTTAATACAGGAGAGCAAATTTAAAATTCACTAAGAGCAATTAATCTCAAGGCTTGATCAAGGATCCCCTTTTCTTCAACTAAACTGTTGAGAAGAATATGATTGTGCATTTATCACTAGGAGTCAAAGACATAATTCACAGGACAACTGTAAGGGAAAAATCAAAGCAGGAAAACAAAATTTACTAGCCAGGGATAATTTTGGTTTTAAACTTCATGCAGATCATAACTACATACTTCTTCTTCTGTGAACTCCTCATCCTGCTCCTATAATTAAAAAAAGGAAGCAACAATATCCATTTCTGACAGGTTGTGAAGATATGATTGCAATTGAATTCAACTTTTTTAAACTTTCAATTGGTTTGGTGTAGTGTACCTTTACAAGGGAAGCCAGAAAATCATCATCTTCTTCTTCCCCTGTTCTGCAAAAGAGATATATCATTATCACAAGAAAGATACCCTATCAATTTTTAAAGCCCAAATAACTATAATATGTTGGGAAGATTACTATAGATTTAAAAAGAATTTTAAGAAAATTTAAAGTCAAAAGGCTAAGACTGCACATAAATCATGCAAATTACCTTCCACATCTGCTGCACTTGTAAAAAACTACAGGTTAAAAAAAGAAGAGTTTCAACCATAACATAAAATTACTGGAGCTTAGCTGTCATAAAAATATCATAAGCAACACAGTTTTACATTGTGTAAGGAAAGTGACATTTGAAGTGTTAACAGTGAGGAGGTTGTAAAGAAAAAACTTTTCTATAGGGAGGTCTAAATCCCCAGATTTAAAGCCAGAGGAGAGCAGGGTTATAATAAAAAGAAAGTTTAAAATAGTTACCTCTTTGGATGATGTCATCTCTAAATAAAAAGAAGAAAAACTGATAAAAAGCAAAATTAGTATGGGACTGTGTTGATTATACCACAAGACACAAATACAACAGAGATAAAAGGTTAAGAAAACACAAAAAAAATGAGAATAATTAACAAGAGACTAAACACACTATCCTTTTCCATAAGGCTTGTTTCAAGATGATGAGTTTCATTTTCATTTCCCATATTACTGTAACAGCTTTAATTTTTTTAGAATGCTTTTGTTTTGATGTGGAATCGACGTGGAATTCAAACTTTACCTTTTTCCACAGCTCCATGTCATAGTCTTCGTAATCATCATCGGTATCATCATCTTCATCCCCTTGAAACAACAATAAAAAGGAAATTATGATAAACACACTCAACTGTCGGTTTTTTGGGCCAGAGTGGGCAATAATTTGAGGGAGGGCACTTATTCAAGGAAATTATTAGAACAGAACCACTTCTCTTTTTACCAGTCAGTCGTCGATATGCATGGCCTAATTCCTGGAATTTCTGTGTTGACAAGGGGTCATCAGGATTCTGAAAAAGGAATTAATATTTTATAACAGAGCTTCAATAACACCAATTAGAAGGGATATAGCTGGAATTTGCTACCACTCTGTCTATGCTATAATCTAAGTTTTTTCATAACATTTTATAAAACAAACATATTTCTTGCCAAGAAATAAAACATTCTTAATGAAAATCTTTCATATGCTGACTAATCAGAAAACTTGCACATTTGTGAACAACATATGATCCTCAAAGCAAAGTCATTCTTATATTGCCCCAATCTGTCACATGAATTTGATATATCTCTCAATAAAGAAATGAAAACTTTGAGTTGAAATTTCCAAGGCATGTTTCGACATTCTCATGTCATCTTCACTTGCAAATGAGCTTTTAACGGTTGTACATTTGAATTTATATTCAGGTACATTACAAATCACGTGTAGGGCTACGTTACAATTTGAATATTAAATACGCAAAAAATGTAAATAGCACGCACTTGACTAGACCAAAAAAAAAAAAAATAATAATAATAAAGTAAAAGACCAAGGAACAACATAATTAAAAGGAAAGAGACAATTCTAGAGGCTTTAATTGCTGATTGAGAATGGGTTTTTCCCACTTAATATGCATGCCTCTTTGATCTTAATTTGGTATTTTGAAGCGGCAGAATCTAAGATCGTGAAACATTCAGTATTACAAGAGTCAAGACAGGCCCTTGATGATTGCAGGTGCTTGTAAATATGCGAAGTTTTGTCCGACAAGAGGTGCTCACGAACTCGTGTACAAATGTGGCGAGTGGTCTCACCAATATAACTGACATTACAGCCAGCACATGAAAATTTATATATGACACGCGAACGTAGACCTAGCGGTACTGAATCTTTCACACTGAACATGTTTCTGAGTTTAAACGTACTGAAGACTAACTTAA